GCAAGTTAACCTATAATTATAACATAACTTAAACTATAATTTATATATATATATATATATATATTGTCTTCCACCGTCTGTTTCGTCATATCACAGCTCATCAGTGTGGCTAGACTTCAGATCATCTCAAGCCAGGATAGAAACCCGGATGATTTGGCATCAGTCTGAGATTTGCCCCTAAGCTATCAGCTCCCGGCAGAAAAGTGAAATTTTACGTATTTATTTTTTAAATATGTGTGTGTAAATTATTTTTTAGAAAGAGTACATATTTAAAGGAGTAAAATAAAAAAGAGGAGAAAAATCCCGATTTAAACATTAAAAATAAATAAAAAATATATTTCTTAAATATTAAATTTGTCGTACCTAGTTTTTAATTATAGCACTTTGTGCCCTCCATATTTTTGACTGACTTTTCAACTAACTGATGAATATTCATAAATGTTATCACATTTGAAAACCTCAATAAACCAATGACATCCTTGCTTTTGAATATAAACACGTGCAACGGAATAAATCCTATTTTCGACTTGATAAAATCCCTCAGAGGACCAAACGCGTCGTGTTTTTTTTCCTCTTGTATTTTTATTCATTCTCTTTCTCTCTCTCTCTCTCTATATATATATATATATATATATATAAACACCAATATATTTTCAATTTCCATAATCAACGAGTCTTCTATGTGCTCTGTTCTTTCAGAACGCGTGATATAAGATGAGAATATGTTTGTCTTGCTATCAGCCGACATCCTGTTACTTGGGATCTGTAGGTTTTATGTATAATTTTCACATCAGCGTTGATTTTACCGGATATATTGGCCATTAAACAATAATAATAATAATAATAATAATAATATATATATATATATATATCTTACTCCGTTCCATTTTTGAATAACTTTATAATATTTTAAACCTAATGCTCGATTCAATTTGAAATTTCTGATTTGTAATTTTATCGTAAATTAAAGATTAATTATTTCATATTGATTTTTGGTTTGATCTAGCATGGATTTAATCAACTAATAGTTTGTATTTAGCATATACCTTCATGTTTTTTTTTAATTTTCATATACTTGTATTCTGATTGGTCATCATAGGTTACGTATTGAGGAGGTTGGATTTAGCTATGAATTTTCCAAAAAGAACTCTTTATTTCACAACCAACACCTGATAAAGGTACCAGAATAGTGATATTATAACATATTTATTTTAAAAGTTTTGAATAAATAATATATATATATATATATATATATGTGTGTGTGTGTGTGTATTTGGTGTCAGCAATTGCTGTTTAATGCATATTTTGCTGAATGAAACTAACAGGGTACATTTGTTTAGATGTTATTAGGTTTTCCTCTTATGCATACAAGCGTATTTTTTCCGGTTAGAGATAGAAAAGTATGGAGAGTTAGAGAAAAAAGAATCGGCTTTATAATCTTTAGTTTAATGTTCACTGAACTTTTCATCGATTATCGATATCAAAAAGAGCCACGGTCGAAGTCCAATGGTTCTTTCAACCCGACCTTCACCGCCTGCGGCGTCGATTATCACCAACGGCAAACATAAGCCGCAGATGACATAGAAAACAACGAAGGAGATTAACTCTCGAGTATTAATCGGATTTGAGGAGAAAGGGAAAACAACAACAGAGACTTAAAAAAAAACAAAAAGAGAACAATCTTGTAAACATTTATCTACATATTGGCTCTCAGGTTCACTCCAGACCTCAAGTGGGATTACGTGATATCTGTCTTCCTGTATGGCAGCGAATGCTGGACAAACTCCTCAAAGATGAAGAAGAGACTTGCAACAACAGAAGCGTGGTTCTATAAAAAGATGCTGAGGACAACATGGACTGAACATGTGAGGAAGGACGTGATTTGACAAAATGGAAACAAAAAGGAAACTTATACTTAACATTAAGAAGAGGAAGTTGACGTTTCTGAGGTACCCAAAAAGGAAGGAGGGCTTCGAAAATCTGATACTCACAGGGCCGGAAAATTGGAACTGTAGGAAAGCAGCACGAAACATACATGAGCTTAAGTAAATGGATGTTAGAAAAGATTTTGGGAGAAATAACAAAATGACAAAACTTATTAAGAGCTTCAAGTGACAGAAGATGTGGAGGGCCATGATCGCCCACGTCTTGAAGGGACACGACATATAAAAGAAGAATCTATTGGTAAAGATGGTCGGTTCAGTCTATTGATCCAGTAAGTTTCTGATGCCTTCTGTAACGCTTTAACTTAGAAGAGTTAGATTAGACAAAAAATGGATGACTGCTCTTATATGTGGGCTGGAGCTGCTCAATCCTCCCTTTCTAAGTTTGATAAAGTTCAAAATCATTGTGAGAGAAGATTTATTTTCCCATCTATTCTCCCACTGACGCTACTCTGTCGATATCTTTTTTGAACAGGAGTAGATATTTATCCCTTTTTTCCTGTTTAGGATTGGGTTTGCGATTTCTTCTCCAGTATTTCAAATCTCTATTTCTAACTTCTCCGCCTAAACTCTGAAATGTTATTTAGTATTCAATAGCAGCATGGCCCGGCGTTGCCCGTGCTTGATTCAAAAATCGTATGACTCATACAGCAATCGCTATCACTTGACTTAAAATATTTTTGCCCGGAATCAGAATCAACGTCGAGTTTAAGCAAGCGAATGAGCCAATTGGAGTAAAGTGCCATGCAGATTTAATTTTTTTCAACTTGAGACGAATGCAGCTATCGATTTTTTTGCATGCTAGTTAACATTCGTGTCAGTCAGCTGTTGGCTCTCACGCTGGCCAATAGAATCTTCCTGCCTATTCGTGACAGCCAGCTATAGGCTCTCACTCTGGCCAGTAGAAAATGGCCGCAAACTGCATAAAAACTGTCGTAGAAGCATGAAAAATTCGATTATTTCCACTATCGATGGGAGTTGGAAAATGCAATGTCGGTCTTGGCCTTTCCACTAACTTGGAGCATGTGCATGTAAATTTTGTTGCAAATTCGTCGAAAATTGCGGCCGTGCATTCGTCACACACACACACACCCTGCCTTTTAGAGATAGAGATTTATTTTTCTTCAATAGCAGTACATTGTTTGGCTTTTCGTCCAGTTCAGATCTGCAGTTTTTGAACTGGTGTATAGGTTTATCACTTTTTACCCTGTTTAGGATTGGTTTTCCGGTTCTTTCTACATTCTACTAAACTCCGCAATTTACTATTTATTTATTTATTTATATTTCCTTAAAATGGAATAGTGAGTTTTGCCTCTCGCCCTATTCAGACTCGCGGTTTTTTGAACAGGAGTGTGGGATTCTCCCTCCCTTTTCCTTTTTAAAATTTGGTTTTCGATTCCTGCTAAAATCATTTCACTTTCACTACCAGTAGTCCCTTGCCTCTTGCTTGGGTTGAATTGATTAAATGAAGAATAATATATATGTGTGAAATGTTCAGATGAGTTCCACTCTTTAGTTCCATCATTTCAAACCGTTTCAGCTCATAGGTAGGTCATATCAAATTTATGGAGTCAAATTACCCTAATTTCTTCCATTTTCAAAATGCAAGAAAAACATTAAACACAGGCAGTTTTTTTTTTTATCCGTGTGGGTTCTTCCCCGGACACTTCAATCTTGACCACTTCTCTCAAAGACCGTCTTGCTTCATTATCCTTAGAATCATTTCTTTTCAAATCGTCTTCCATTCATATCACCCACCACATTGACCATTCCCATTTTGAATGTAAAACTAACTTTGATGACCCTTAAACTTTGCATTGTGTGAATTTTAGTAGAGTGATTGATCGAATTTTTTACGACTTATCAACACTTTATGGCTTCTTTGGTATTGTGAGAAGAAATGTTTTTGCGAGTTAATATTGCATTAACCAATTTTAGTATAGTGATTGATTTTTTATGTCTTATCAACACTTTGTGGCTTGTTTTGGATTGGGAGAAGAATTCTTTTTTTGTGAGTTAATATTGCATTAACAAATTTGAGAAAAACTGATTTTTCAAGATAAAAGTCTTATTAATTTGACACATATGTGAGGAGAAGAGATGGATTCATACCATTCTCAACGATATTTGCGCGTAAGTGAATTAAAAGAATCCAACTGGAAAATTTAATATAAAAATCCCCCTACGTAATAAGAATTGTTAAGCCTTTAATTTAGTGCTAAATCGCATAGAATGAACCGTAAATGTCAGATGAAAATTAAGTGCCGTAGTAACCAGCTTCTTAAAGATTTGCCTTTCTATAAGTATGTAGATAAATATATAACTAAAGTTTGATTTCTTCGTTTGTTGATTATGTTAAACGGCATAATACCTCTATGGGTTATTGAATGCCAAAATCTAAATATTTTGAATAAAATTTAATGACTTCAACTAAATATATTTTGAATCCCTTTAACTACAGATAAAATATTGATGGTAATTCTACTATAAAATAGTATTGTTAGTAACTTTGCTATAAAATGGTATTGTTAGTAACTTTGCTATAAAATGGTATTGTTAGTAACTTTGCTATCGATATGTATTGTTAGTAACTTTGCTATAAAATGGTATTGTTAGTAACTTTGCTATAAAATGGTATTGTTAGTAACTTTGCTATCGATATGTATTGTTAGTAACTTTGCTATCGATATGTATTGTTAGTAACTTTGCTATCGATATGTATTGTTAGTAACTTTGCTATCGATATGTATTGTTAGTAACTTTGCTATCGATATGTATTGTTAGTAACTTTGCTATAGATATGTATTGTTAGTAACTTTGCTATAGATATGTATTGTTAGTAACTTTGCTATAGATATGTATTGTTAGTAACTTTGCTATAGATATGTATTGTTAGTAACTTTGCTATAGATATGTAGCTTTATACTTTCATCGTGTCTTGTTTTTGTTTTTCATTGTATAACATTTTATCTATGTGCTTAATAGAGAAACTTTGGTTTAAGTTACTTGACAAATGATTAAAAGTGAACTGATGCTGTTATATTAAGACTCATGAACTGTATAAAGTGAGATGCTGGGAATTTCAATAATGAGTAAGTGAGTGGGAATGAGTAAGTGAGTGGGAATGAGTAAGTGAGTGGGAATGAGTGGGAGTGAGTGGGAATGAGTGAGTGAGTGGGAATGAGTAAGTGAGTGGGAATGAGTAAGTGAGTGGGAATGAGTAAGTGAGTGAGGGAGAGAGGCTTTCAAAATACATGGTTTAATCAGGTCCCAACAGAAATTTCATTATAATCACACATGACCGGATATTTTACTCTTGTTAGGACAATTTTGTAGAGACAATCGCTGTCTGTTCGAAAGTGTTATTTTACAATGAAAATATTAAAAGAATATAGAAGAATTGTTCTTTACCGTCAAGTTCCATATGTCTCGGGTCTGTCCATAAATACTCTTCATTTCAAACAGAGCACCATCCTGAATTGTAACTTTAAGGAATTTTATTTGTCTATTGCTTGGTTCTTCCATGATTAAATTGGCGCCTGAAAGAAAAAAACATTGATGAAATGAAAAGCGTAAAATCTCCCCAGCAAAACCTTGCTCTAACGTAGAGATTTCTTTTCTTTCACGAAATAAATTTTGGCTTCAAAATCATACACAAACAAAATATAATCATGATTTTAAAGTTATTTTTTAATCTTTGATAGATCCTTCCCAGCTGTATAAATGACGCTGCACACTTTCGTAAGTGTATATATATATATATATATATATATATATATATATATATATCTTAGTCTTTTTGACACATAATCTATCAAGACGTGGTGTTTTTGGATACGTGTTAGCGTCTCGTAATAAGTACAGCTTTATTCTGAATTTTCGCAATCTAACTTGAAAGTCGAAGAATAAATTTGCAGGAAACGTTTTGAATTTTCTTTTTTCACCCCAGTTAAAAATGCAGAATACTGCAACCAAGGGACTTAATTTGTATGACCTTCATAGAAATGTGGCACTTACCGGAAGCTACAAGCAGGTGACTCTTGTCCCCTTCAATTTTCCCCCATATCTTAAGTGTATTTGAGTTCAGGTTTGTTGTAGGACAAGCTTTTGGGTTCATGCCAAGCGCTCTTTCGTCCAGGGAACTTCGAATTTCGACTGTCGCTTGTGGAAGGATCCACGTCGCACCTTCATAAATGAAAGGATAGTAGGTGACATTCGAGCGACGGTATTCCTGTACCTGCAAATAGTAAAAGTTCAACATTTAAAAAAGTGTATTCGCATATTTTTAGTAGAAAGAGTTGGAGACGAAGTTTCGTAAAGACGACGTTCAGTTAATGTTAACAACATAAAAGCATTTACAATGTTAGCTTAGTTTTGCATAAGGTTCTGACAGTCGATTCTCAGATTCAAGCAGAATATAGGATTTAGTTATGGAGTGGATCACATCTCGCCACTATATGACTTGGACTCGTTTAAATAGCATATATACTGACGCCAAGAATCGTCAGCAGAGATCTAACCGCTCGCGTGGTTTTTAGATCGTGTCGACCTCTCTGCGTTCGGGCGGAGAGCAACTCAGACGTGGCTATGCCAAAGGGGAGAGTCTCATTTGATGAGCTAGACAAACCCGACCCGCGTATACGGGGAATTTTTGCGCGAGCCTACGGGCTCGGATTTGCCCGACATAAAATTCGGCCTTCTGCGACATCCTGCCTTGTGGGGAGGTTGGTAAATAATAACCTAACCGCACGTGTAGTTCTTAGATCGTGTCGAACTCTCTCTGTAAAGGCGTAGAGAAAGCCAGACGAGGCTATGCCAAAGGGCAGAGACTCGTCTGGGGAGGTAGACAAACCCGACCCCGTATATATGTGCTCTACGGGGAATTTTTGCTCAAGTCTACTGGATCGAATCTCTCCCACATAAAATGACCTTGTACCGCATCCTACCTCATGGGGAGGTTGGTAAATAACAAACTAACCGGGAGCGAGGGCTTTACTTCCGGATTCTTCAGGAGGGATTGGCAGAGGAGAAGGTTTTTTTCCCCCCGTCGGAGTAAATGCTGCAGACATAGTGTCTATTCTGTGCCGGAGGCCTTCTCTCCTCCCTTGCATTCTTCCCACCGTTGCGTAACATATGTTGCATAGCGGTGGTATGATTGGCTATGACCAGCTTTGATCAGTTTAGACATGCTAAGACCAGCGGCCCGACTAGAAACACTCAGGCCCTCACGTTAAAAATCGACCTTGTATCACAACCTGACTCAGTGGAACGAGGGGTGGGTGAGTTAAAATAAATCTCGAGCTAACCGGGAGCGAGCCTTATATCCTTATTCCAGAATTCAGTAAGACTACGTCGACTCCAAGCGACTTTATATTTCGGGATCGTGTTATCTTCATTCAATGCATTCCTAATATTAACTAAGCTTAATTTATTTAGAGCAGTGGTTCTCAGGCGGGATCCATGTAACATTACTGTGTTCACACACACACAAAATAGCAAATTGGGGGCCCGCGGTAATATTTTATTGATCCATAAAGCAATTTCACGTGAGAAGGGTTATTACAAATGAGAATTGGAATTCCTAGAGTAATTTAAGCCATGTTAAAATACTCAAAATTAGAAGAAAATAAGATCAAGCGATGAAAGTTAGTGTCCTTTTTCTCTACCCGATATATTGATTGTAAAAGTTGAATAAAAAATGAGAAGTATATAAAAAGGAAAGAATATATATATATAAAGATTATAATTGATTATAATAAATTAATTTAATATATTAATAATAAACATTTTTAAATTTATTAATTATTCACATATTTTAAATTGGTATATAATGAGTTATTTTACTAGTGTACATAAATACACAGAGAAACGGTGGAGTAATGGATACCGGCTCGGATTGAGGAATCGAATTCCAGTCGAATCCATAACATTCACTTATACCCCTCGGAAAGGTATGAATCCTCTTCTCCCACTAAATAGCAAGCTTCTATAGCCTTGGATGGCTACCGCAGAAAGAAATGGCAACCTACAGCAGCAAAAAAATCTGCTGTCAGTCATCGAAAGCTACATGTTGGCCTAAGCGTGTATCACGCATAGCACATAACTGGCTGACATAAATGTTGCATATAATTATAATATAGTTGGTAAATACAAGTTTATTATTTCACATTAAATTAGTTTTTACTTCAAAATAAAGCATATACATTTACTATTTCGATAATACAATTCCGAAACTTATCTATTAGTGAAGAATAAAATAAGCTTTTGTTTTTTCATCGAATGGTTATGGGGTCCACCCCAAAAATTAAGAGTAAAAGTGGTCCATGAGTAAAAAAAAAAAAGGTTGAGAACCAAAATTTAGAGTAATGCTAAAACAATAAAGGAAAATCCTGTGTAGATCAGACTTAACAGATAAGTGAATATTTTTATCCATTTCACTACGGTAGGCGCTAACGTTTTCTTCAAGGTGTGAAATAAACTTATCTGATAAAAGATGGAGAAGTATTGACAATAAAATGTCACACATTTATGACAGAAGTTCTTGTAACTTGTGTGTTGATATTTACAAAACTAAGTTTTAGCTGTCATGGGGTTAGATGAATAACACATACTGAAAGCCCAATATGGAGTATGGCATTCAAGCCAAGAGTAAGAAAATAAGGAATAAGCTTAGTTTAATCCGGTAAATTCTCATATATGCGATACATTTAGCAAAGGTTAATTTCGCTGGGCTAAGAGACTATAGCGCTCAATACTACTTTATTTTTTAATTGCTTTTTTTTTAATCGGCATGAATCCATGCAGGAAATAAAGACACTAAGACAGAAGGGGTTACAGTGTGTGGACAAATAATGAACAGAAACATTAATAATGGGCGGGAAGAGAAAATTGTAATCAAGAGGACATTAAATAGCGATTGGCAAAGCATTTAAATTTTTGTGGATTAAAATTGGCTGTAAAGCAAAGAGATGGAAAGGAGTTCTACTAGAGAAATGGGCGAGAAAAGAAACGAAAATAATGTCAAGATGAGTCTAAGAACTCGACTAGTTTCCAGGATAATATTTTGGTTATATATATATATATATATATATATATATATATATATATATATATATGACAAAAGTACCCATAACAAAAGGCTTAAAGAGACAGGGTACATAGAAGATCAGTTGGACACACTATCGTCTGTCCAACTTTATTATCATTATCTTCTTTACACCATGTCTCTTCAAGCCGTTGTTGATGGAGACTTCCCACAATACCCCACTTTGTTGCTATCAGCATTTCTTTACTTTTAACTTCCATATTACCGATACAAAAATTGTTATAACTGATTCACTAACCAATCTAAGATTTCCGTTCCGTGTGTCTTATGGTGATCTGGTCCATCAAACATAGGTTAAGATCAGTGAATAATCTGGCTGCGGATTAATTGTTTTGTTTTTTCTTTAACGGATTTTAAACCTTAGATTATTTTAAAGCCAGAATGCATTATAAAACTTTCTGGAGATGGTAATAATTTACTGATACAAATCCTGCTATCTCATAGCTGGAGAGAGAATAGGTGCATTGATAACTTTCTCACGGATATTTACATGTAACAAACTCGACTGGAATTGGAACCCGGCTCTCCAATTTTCAATTACGAGCCGTTATCAGTTACACCAGACACACATCCAATCTTAAAGCAACAGGTATTCCCGAGAAATCACCGTTCTAGGTAGTGACCAAGATCGACGTTACTTAACTTCGGTGTTATAATGACATATGGCCGCAACCTATTTGGCAGTTGAGTCATTTTTTTTTTTATTAAAACCATTAGACAGATAATTACTAATGTAAGGCGTTCGATTTATACTTTAAGCTCTGCATTTACCGCCTAGTGCAGGACTAAACTAAGCAAGGGGAATAACACATGCCATTTCATTTACAATGATATTCCTACCTCTGTCACGTGAAGAGTTTGAGATGGCCCAATATGCAAATGTCCCGTATCATCGCCGACCAGCCGAGTTGTGGTAAGTTTCGTTTTGTTATTCGTCATCAATAAATGGGCATTGCCATATAGTTCAACCAGGGAAAATAGAAAGTTAAAACCTTCAGATGGAGAATCTGGTATTAAGTAGGCTACGGCACCTGCAAAAATACAAGTATATAGGTTAAAACATTTTAATATGACAGAGTGTAAGAAAGATATAGCAAAGATCATTTACATATAGCTAAAATGGAGATAAAGGGACAAAGCGGAAAAGCTTTTTAACGACGAGTTTTGTCGACGACCTGTGTTAGGCTTGGCGTCTTCAAGTTGGAATGAAAGAGAAAATTGTGTGTATTGTTCTGCTTTGGGATTTTTGTGGATAAAGGGGCAATAAATTAAATGACCTTATGAGTTCCGACGACCAGAGACAAGGTGTTTTTATATAAATTATTTTAAAAAATTGATCATTTTCTTTTGCATATTTTATTCAACAAATCTTTCTGAAGAAGAGTTGGACGAAAAAGTTTCTTTTTAAAGGATAAAATGCACTGCGTAATTTTTAAAACAATATATAAATTCTGTGGTATATTCTTTGCTCAACACATACAAACATATATTATAATAACAAAATATAATCTTTAACGGTGGATGTCTTTGTTTCATGTCTGTATAACCACCCTGAGGATAGCTCGCGTGAGCCGAAAGTTTAGAACCAACTTAATAAGAACATATCCAAATGTTGGACAATTTTTGTCTTTATTTTCACCAGGAATTACAGCAAACATTCGAGCATTAGAACGGCGCATAATCAGACATAATATACGTTCAATTTGTGTTATATTTAATCAGTGTTTACATAATGATCTGCTGCCCCATCCACTATATATATATATATATATATATATATATATATATACACTTTCGATTCCTATCGGAGGAAACATTTTCTATGAAATTTTTCTGACATTTAGTCCGGTAAATATTGTTAATACTGTTTATTATAAACAGAGCATTTACTATTTGTATCTATAAAAATAACGTATAAAAATAAATATAGTAAAATAATTGTCGGACTTAGCCTCTTTCATAATATATGACGTCATTTGTTTTCGTTAAACTAAACTTCGAGCAGATATGAGCGTTTGAGAGAAATCATGGGACATTTGTAGTTTAAAAGCAGTAATTCGACCATGCTAACAAGACGCTTCCCCTGTACCTAAATGGTATAGTACGCCAGGATATATATATATATATATATATATATATATATATATATACACATACATACCGGGTGTAACAGCAAAATTGTCAAAATCGTGTAGGAACATGGGATAATTGTCCATCCCACAAAAATGTTTTAGTATCTAAAAAAAAAATTACTAAACTAATTCATTTTTTTTTCAAGTTTCAAAATTTTTTTTCGTTATCGTGTGTGTGTGTGCGCAAGTATCCAGAAACATAGGAAAGAACACGTTAGGTAAATAATCCGAAGTTCCTTAGTATTTTTGTTTTTATTTTAAAAAGACATTGCATATACAAGTAGAGGTTATATTTAATATTATAATTTTTTTATATTTTATAAATATATATATATATATATATATATATATATATATATATATTAATCATTTCGAATCCACGAATCAATTTCTTGATAGGAAATTGATTAAAAAAATATAAAATTTTATGTAATATACATATAATTATGTATAAAGTACCAGGTTTGGAAATGGCGCGGGCTATCTGACCTTGACGAAGGTAAAAGGAGTCTCTCTCAGCTTTGGTTACAAATCCTTTTAGCGTTGGTTTCATGATAAAAAGACTTTATATGGGAAGGAAAGGTCATAAAAACTTAACCCGGTCATTATATTGCATGTGTCTGCCGAGAGACGTGTACTGGTTGGTATTGACTGTGATCAGGAGAGATTAAACTCCGCGTTAATAACACATGAAGACTGTCGTTCGGAGTTTCCGTGGCAAGTCTTTTGCACCGTTACTTTTTTTGTCGACAGATCCAAATAGTGTGATGGTCTGACACAAGCCTTTACCACTTGAAATAAATGTGTTAGTTTTCTGAAAACTACATCTAATTAGTTCCACACATATCCGGCTACTGCGAAAAATTCAAACGAAACAACATCAACTTCATCTTAGCACTTGGAATGTACGAACTCTCCAGGACAACAACTCAGCGCCAGAAAGCAAAACAGTTCTGGTCGCATTGGAGGTAAAAAAGTAGTACAACATTGATATAGATGCACTGAGAAGTAAGCATCAGTCGACTGCATAAAACGAGAAAGCAAAATAAGACATCTAATAGTGATCCTGCTGCACTTGAATACAATACATTCTCCTGTATTGTTTGTGGTCTTTTGTGCAATTCTCGAGCCGGTCTCAAAAGTCATGCCCGTCATAGGCATGCAAATAAATAGTTCGTAGTCATCGGAACTTCATATATCGAACTCGACGGGAGAATCCATCATATATATATATATATATATATATATATATATATATATATATGTGTGTGTGTGTGTGTGTGTGTGTATTTAAATAAAAAGAAAAGAACAGTAAGATATATAATCCGGTGTTCTTATAGATATTTTTATTTTTACAAAATAGTGTTCAATGTAAATTTACAGAGCATTCATATTATAAATTAATTGATTTAAAATATGTTTTTTTCCGATACACAGTTCTAACCATGTTTCAAAAATGGAAGCTCAAAGCCACGAATTTAATTTTGCAATTAAAGATATTAGTTCCATTTCTTCCTCAAGCGAATTTTGGAGTAAATATATTTTATATATATATATATATATATATATATATATATATATATATAAGTAAGGCAATAAAGCCATTAAAACGCCACGGGTTACTGAGTATGACATAATATAAAAGAAACGAAAAAGATTATTATGGTGAGAGAAACAAGAAAAGAACAGAACTGAAGACAAGATAACGATTGACAAAGTATTTAAATTTTTAAGATCAAAGTTGACTGGAAAGCAAAAGGGTAGCTATAATAGGGCGGAAGTAAGGTGACTGTGGCCAAGATAGCAGGTCAGGATCGATAACATTGCATATTCTTTTGGTAATTTTATCAAGACTTTTGAGTGAGCATGGATAGACAGAGAGTAAACATAAATGATCCCATTATTGAATTAAGTGGATCACGTGGCCATAGAGGAAACGCATATATAGGAAGTTGCGTGACGTCTTAATGATCACAGATTACTTCGGAAGTGTGCTTGTCAAACTCACTGCCTCTGTGTAGAGAGGAACCCAGACGAGGCTATGCCAAAGGGCAGAGTCTCGTCTGGGAAATGGTTCTACCCGGCCCCGTTTTCACGGGGTCTGTGGGGATATTTTTGCCCGAGCCTACAGGCTCGGATACCCCACAATAAACCCGGCCTTGTGCCACATCCGATCGCGTGGGGCGGTTAGTGAATATCATCGCTATTCTAGTCTATCCTCTATTACTAACATATCACCACTTCTAATCTATCACTATACGGACCGCTATTCTCTGTTCACGATACTATTTCTCTATTCGGATCACTAAACGGGTTATTATTCGAGCAAGTATTATTGATCAAGTACTATTAATGCGTGTGCTATTCAAAGGCGTTTGACACCAGTATTTTTCAACGGCGTACTATAGTTTTATCTGCGATTGAAAAGTCTCTACTACAGCGAGCATTACGAAAGGACAACGAGTATTCGTTGACATCACAAAAGTGGCAACGAGTTTTCGTTAACATCACAAAAGTCTTTAAATAACTAGCAAAAGCACCACACCAGATGTGGCAGAAATATTTAATGCAAGGACAAATGACAGACTTATAAATATCTAAGATTTAGTCGAGACAAATTGTCTAGCACAATACGGTGAACAACAGCAGAAGACAGTAATTTATTTAATATATTTTCCTACTTCCTGTCAGAAGAAAACGTTAACTCGAGAAGCTGCAATGAATCACTATCCTTAAAGTTACCATCAGTCATACTGATGGAAAAAATGCAATTCCATCTTTGAAGTGTTAAATAATAAAACAAATGATTGCCTTAGGTAACAACACATTGAAGGTTATGTTTTAGATAAGCTGCCAATTTCACCTTTTCAAAATTATCAGATCTACCATTACGACAAAAGTAAATAGTAATGTTATCAACATAGATACAGAGTTGAGAACTGATGATACTGACAAGGTCATTAAAGAGAATTAGGAACAGCATCAGTCAAGGATAGAGCTCAGGCTGATACCAACATTAATGCAAAAAAAAAAAAAATCTAGAAGATTCACTGTTCAATATAACTTTCATTTTGTGAATCGAATAGATTGAATCAAATCAAAAATTCGTCTATAAATATTTAAAAATTTTAACTTGGAGAAAACGCTGGTCTTTTCCACAAATTGAAAGATGTTGCCAACCTCTTTTCGCTGGACTTTTCCACAAGTTGAAAGATGTTGCCAACCTCTTTTCGCTGGACTTTTCTACAAGTTGAAAGATGTTGCCAACCTCTTTTCGATGGACTTTTCCACAAGTTGAAAGATTTTGCCAACCTCTTTTCGATGGACTTTTCCACAAGTTGAAAGATTTTGCCAACCTCTTTTCGATGGACTTTTCCACAAGTTGAAAGATGTTGCCAACCTCTTTTCGCTGGACTTTTTCACAAGTTGAAAGATGTTGCCAATCTCTTTTCGATGGACTTTTCCACAAGTTGAAAGATTTTGCCAACCTCTTTTCGATGGACTTTTCCACAAGTTGAAAGATTTTGCCAACCTCTTTTCGATGGACTTTTCCACAAGTTGAAAGATTTTGCCAGCCACTCTTCGAGATATACAAAGCAACAGTCCAAGATTCCCCACTTTTATGCAAACATTTCAGCAATAATCGTGAACGCAATAACAGTTGACTTAGAGAAGGCCCCAAGCATGGCATGCAGGCACAAATAAACAGTGCTTTTCTCTCTTCCTTTCCTCTGTCTAAATTTTCCTTATATATATATATATATATATATATATATATATATATATATATATATAGCTTGTCTTGAAGAAGACTCTTTAATGCGAGATACTTAAGCAATTCGGAGTTGATTAGAATCTTTAGTACGTTGCCAAAAGAGGTAGAAAGCTAACAGGCCAAG